CCCCTGCCAGCCCCAGCCCCCAGAGGGCTCACCAGGATGCTGTAGAAGAGCTCGTGGACAAAGAGGCCCAGGACACTCGTCAGGATGTAGCCCACATGGTAGAGGAACTCCATGTCCATGACCATGGCCTTATAGCCCCGGATGAAGGTTCCGCGGTTGCCCACAAAGCTCACCACAAATACAATCTTGTTGGTCAGCTGGGGGCAGTAGAAGGCATGGGGATCAGTGCCCCACGGCCCACTCTGAATCTCCACTCCCTGCCGCCCTGCCCCCCCCAGTGACCAGCTCGGAGGCCAGCCCTTGCCCGGAGTGGATCTGAGCTGGTCCTGCCCAACCTGGCAGGCTCAGCATTAATGAAAATGTCTCCAGAAATGTACCTGGACTCTTGGATAGAACAGGGGAGGAGCCCCGTGGGCCCCTGGTTCCAGGAAGAAAGTGAGATACAGATAGAGTCAGACCAAGCAGACCAACCTTGGCCTCTACGGTGACTTGGTAAGTTCGGAAAAGGGGTCTCCCCCCACCTTGCTCTGGGTACTTTATTTCCAGCTGTCAGGAATTGTCATAATATACAAATCTTTAACGTCTACAGTACACACAGTGCCTCTGGGCAGTGCCCGACTAACACCGTCTACACAGCAGCCCTGAAGCTGGTGCCCCAAAGTGACTTCTGGCTGGCTATCTCTGAGTGCCGGTTGCCCCCAGGCCGTCCCGGGGGACAGTGGAGGCACAGAACGGCCCTAACCATGGAGCTTTAACAAGCTTGATCCCGACACAGGCACAGGGGGGTTAGGGCAGAGCAGTGGCTGCCGGGAGGCAGCAGGCCAGCCCGAGGTCCAATGGCGCCATGAGCCCCAAGGGTGGTCTAGGGTGAGGGCTCCCTCTGGCACTCACGTTGAGGGCGCCCAGGATGTTGAGTGTGGGCCCAATGCCCAGGTAGTAGATGGAGCGCAGGATGAGCGCCACAATGAGGGGGCGGATGCTGTAGCGCTTGGTGAACAGGGCCGCGATGGAGAAACAGATGAGGATCCAGAACAGCAGTGAGATGAGTGGGGAGCCCAGCACGCCTGGGGGCCAGGGTGCAGGGTGAGCACTGGTCTCTGAAGCCCACCACAGCCCCAACAGACCCCGAGAAGCCACCTCCTCCCGGAAACCTTCCCTATTAAGTTCTTGGTCACCTGGTATTAGGGCCTCTCCTGCACCACCACACCTGCATGTCTAGGCTTAAGGCAGGAGAGGCCCTATCCAGCTGCTGCTATCATAGCTGAGCTCTGGCTCACGCGCGTGTGCCCGTGTGTATGAGAGAGACGTGTACTGTCTCGAGGTCAAGGACCCTGTCATCGCACTGGACCCCATCTGTCTCTCCCCCCATGATGGGGTGCAAAGCCCAGAAAGTAGTGCAGGGGTGCCTTTCCCCCACTCTGCATCTGGTCCCCTCAGAGCCTGGCTGGCCACAAGGCTCTGCCCAAACCCTGGGAGGAGGCACGGTGGTCTCCAGGGCCACAGTCTGCCAGCCTTGTGTCCCCACCTGTGGATGCGCCCTCCATGTAGGGGTAGAAGAAGGCAATGATGATGTTGATAAAAACTGCCAGGTTGAAGGAAATACTGCCCCACAGGGTCATTCGGCGGGAGAACCAGTAGATCAGTGGCATGCCTGGGGGAGATGTGGGTGGGTCTCTGGTTAACATTGTCCCCTCATCCCACATGGCCTCCCCCTCTGGGGCCCCCAGCACCTGCTCAAGCTCCAGGCCCCGCTTCAGGGGGAAAATATGACTGGAGCCCTCCTGGGGTGGGGTGGGGTGAGGCAGCCCCCCCTGGCAGGTAAGGGGGTCACCAGGGGGCCTTGCCCTCCCGCCCCGCGGGGGTCCTCACTGCGGAGCTTGCGCTGCCACTCCATTTCGTTGTGCAGGAAGGAGGACTGGTCGAAGAAGTCGCTCACTTTGCTGCCCTGCTCATCCTGCTCCGTGGTGGTGAAGAGCCGGTGCTTGGTCTCCTCCGTCAGGAACTGGCAGATGCCAGGCACCGGGAACACGATCTGCTCCATGCTGCGGTCCTGTCGCACGATCTGGGTGCACACAGGCATGTGGTCACACCTAGGCCACAGCCCTCAAGGGCCAAGTTCACAGGCCCTCACTCACAGCGCCCCTACTGCCCTCGGGCCCCACCTCTATCTGGGATGTGTGGTTCTCGTAGTAGGCCAGGGGGTCCTCCTCCTCCTCTTGTGCGGGCGCGGAGGACTTGAGCATCTGGGACAGCTGCTTGTTGTTGAGGCTGAGCTGGAGGTAGAGGGGCCGCCGAGGTCAGGCCCCGCAACTTTCCACCGCGAGACCTCACACCAGAGCCCTACCTGCTCCAGTCCCCCCCTGTCAGTCGAGACCCAGCCTACTCCAACTAGGATGCAGCCCAGAAGAAAGAGGGGATAAGGGGGGAGAAGCCTGTCGAAACAATTCTATAGGCCCCTCAGCACCCACGGCTCCAGCTCCAGGCTTCCAGACCCGTCCCACAACCCGGCTCCCACCTCTACCCGTAGGTTTCACCCCGGACCGCCCACCCTCCCGGCTCCTCCCACCCTGAGCCCCGCCTCCCCATTCCAGCCCTTTACTCAGGTTCAGGCCACACCCCCGAGTCGTGCTCCGCCCAGAGTTCCTGGACCTGCCCCCGGGCTCATCCCGTATTCCAACCGGCCCTCCGATCTCGCAGTGCCCTCATCCCCTCCCTCAGTTCCTAGCCTCGCCCCCAGATACCAGCCCATCCAATCTCTCGCCAAGCCACGCCCCTAGACCTAAGCCCCGCCCCACACCCAGCCTTGTCCCCGCGCCCCCACCATAGAAGAGATGCCCTCGGCCTCCTCCTCTTGGATGCGCTTCACTGGCTTGAGCAGGTGCTGCAGCTGCTTGTTGTGCCTGGAGAGCTGAGTGAGAGGGCGGCGCAGTCACGGGGCGTGGTCGCTGGGGTGGGGGGGAGGGCAGGACCGCCGGGGGCGGAGCCAGGGGTGAGGCTACTACCTGCAGCGCCAGGATGTAGATGTTGTGGCCCACTTCCCGTGGGCTCACCTCCGAGTTTTCCCGCTCCTCCTCCTGCAGGTAGGCTTTCTTGATGACGTCCACCTGGCAGGGCAGGGCCTGTTTGCCGCCTTCCTGGCGCGTAGGGAATGCCCCGATCCCGGGTCCCCTACACCCCAGCCAGGCACGTCTTCCCACCTGACCCCTGGCCCCAGCCTCACCAGCTCCTGGGGCCGCAGGCTGATGAGGATTCGCTCAGCGTTTTCACTGTCGTGCCGGCTCTCCATCAGAGCCAGGAGCAGCTTGGAGGCATTGTCCTGTGGAGAGGTGGGGAGAGGGGGACAGGCCACAGTCTGAGAGCCCCTACGATGCCCCCCAACAACCTCTTCCACCGTCTCCTCCATAATAGCCTCTCCTGGCCTGCAAGATGCGCCGTAACCTTCCCATCCCCGCTGGCCCCCAGGACTTGCTGAGAAGTGTCCTGCAAATCCAGCCCACCCACTAGCTGTCTTCACCACCACCCCATGGCAAGCAGACGCAATCCCCAGAAAGCGGACACGTACGTGGTAGACCCTCAGATAAACCCAGAACACGTCTGCTCCTAAAGTGTACGTCCAACACTCTTGCTCACACATTCATTTACGTATGCATATTGACACGTACATATTAAACATGCCAACACACCCCAGTATGCACACTCAACACAGGTCGCGTCACGTGCATTTGTGCACACGCATCCCATGCACACTCACGTGGAGTGCCACGGGCCCCACCTTAAGCTGCAGCACCAGATCCATACGGTATTTGCACAAGGGACTGATGTCATTAAGAATCAGGGCCGTGATGATGTCTATGCCGTTGGACTCATGCGTCACGATGCAGGTCTGGCAGGAGGCAGTGGGAGACACGGGGCCCAGGCCCCTCAGAACAGTGGCGCTCCGGAGGCTCACTGTCTCCCCTGCCCAGCCTGCTCCACCCACCCACACCTCCACACTCCCCCTCGGCTGCTCCTGGTTCTCATGGCGACTTACCTGGTTCTCGTGGCAGGGGCCCTGACAGTACTCAGTGAGGGTCTCCAGGGTCTGGATGACAAGGCCCACGTTGTCCTCATTGATGTAAAGCCCCAGCAGCCCCAGGCCACCGGTGGTGCTGCCGCACATGATGTCCAGGAACTGCAGTGTCTCACACACCAGGTTGTAGTTGGTCTTGTTGTTCTGGGAGCGCAGGAAGTTCTGCAGAGCACAGAAGGGTGGACATGGCACCACTCCCGCAGGGAGGCAGAGGCCTGCACGGACCACGACGGTGAGCGCCGCAGGGCGTTACCAACGGGAAGGGCGGGGGGCCCACGTGCTGGCTGGGGGAGGGGCGGGGCAGGCGCTCACCTGCAGGTCACGGTTGTGGTTCTCACACAGCAGCTGCAGAAAGCGCAGGATGGGCTGCATGATGAGCACGGACGTGCCCATCTCGTTGCTCTGCACGCGCTCGCCCACCTCGTGCCCCCGGCGTAGGCTGGGGCCCAGGGAATAGCGGGATGGGGAGCCTGGCATCGAGAAGGAGGCCACGCGACCTGCAGGGCGAAGCCCGGTAAGGCTGGGGCTGCCGGAAGTAACCGGACCCTGCGTTCCCACCCCCAGGCCCCTGCCTGCAGATCTCGCCCCGTGACCCCCCTCACCCTGAAGCCTCTGACCCTGGCCCAGCACCCAGTACAGCATCCTGTACTGCTGTGACCTCTGACCTTTGGTGGTGGGGTCTGCCGACTCCCGGTCCTCGCGCGGCTGGCTGCCCAGGTCATTCATGTTGACGGCCACCGTGGACTTGGTCTCCTGCTGGGCCCGCTTCATGCGGTCATGCAGCACCTTGAAGAAGCGCTCTGACTTCTTGTCACTTGTCATCAGGTTGTAGAAGGATTTCTGGGGCAGATGGTGAGATGAGGGACAGCCTCAGCACGGGCCTGGCTCTGAGCAGCCCTTGCTGGGTCCCTGGAGGGCTCTATCCTGTGCTGCAGGGAAAAGCACCTGCAGGACCACAGACAAGCCCCTAGACGTACCCCAGGACTAAGGCTGGGGCAGGGTCAGTCAGGACTGTGGAGGCAGAGGGGAAGGGTCTGTATCTGCTGTCCATGTGATGCTGGAGGCCCACCCCAGGCTCCTCACCCCCATCTGCATCTGCCCTTGGCCCTCTGTCTGCTCCCCACACAGCAGCAGAGACGCCCCTCAGAAGTCTAAGTCTCGGATTTCCTCTGCCTGAAACCCTGCAGCGGCCCCATCTCACTCACAGGAAAAGCCACGCCTCACAGCTCACATGAGGCCACACGATGGCCTGCCACTTCTCTGACCCCAGGGCCCACTACTCTCCACTCCTCTGCCCTCTCCAGCCACATCAGCCACTTCCTCCTCATGGCCTTTGCACCTGCTGCCTGCTCTCCCAGGACAGCGCTCGCCTGTCCACATGCTCACCTCTGGGTCCAATGTTCCCCTTTCCAGGACACGACCCTGATCCCTGTCCCAGCACTCCCTAGGCCCCTCGCCTCCATCATCACTGTCCAGCATGCTCTCCATGTTATGTGGGGATTACGGTTATTGGCTGTTGTCCTCATTAGGATACAGGACCAAGAGAACACGGATTTTGTCTTTTTTGTTCACTACTGAATCCTCAGTGCCTAGAACACTGACAGGCCATGGAAGGCACTCGGTGCGGACTTACTGAAACAATGCATGAATGAATGAATGGGGATAAAGCAATCAGAGGGGGCTTTTCAGAGGAGGCAGTCCTTTAGTTGGGCACCAAAGGCTGAGGAGGATGTGGAAGAGGAGGGAAGCAAGCCTGAGCAGAGGCCAAGAGGCAGGAATGATGGATGTGATGTGGGCAGCATGGTGGGGAGACAGGCTCAGGCCTGGCTTGAACAGGGTGGTCTGCGTGGATAGAAAAGAGGCCACATGACAGGGGGGCAGTTATGGGAAGTGGGACTGCCTACGGGTAGCCAGACTCGTGCCGGCCACCAGCACCTAGCCCTGCGGCCCCAGCTACGGGGCACACTGTACCTCCTCGTAGAAGGCACCACCCAGGACCCCCACCCAGTCCACACCTGGATCTCCGTGTTGCCACCATCCAGCAGGCGGATGGCCAGGCCAATGCTCTCCTGGAAAATCTTCTCATTCTTGGTGCTGGTGATCAGGTCGCATACCAGCTTGGTGGCCCCCTCCTTGTCCAGCCGGCACTGGGTGGCCGCAATTGCTGACCAGTCTTGGTCCAGGCCTGAAGTTGGGGAACCCACGTGAGGGGAGCCGGTGGGGCAGGGGAGCAGAAGGGGGGCCCAGGGCCTAGGCAAAGGGTCACCCAGAGGCACAGCCAGGGGGCAGGTGGTACTGACCAGGGCTCATGGGGTCCGGAAGGTCCCCCCTCGAGCTGGACTTCCGATTCTGGAGGTAGTTTTGTAGCAGCATCTTGCGCAGTTGATTGCCCTGGAGGACAGGGAGCGAGAGCCCACAGTGGCACTTTTCACCATTTAACCCCTGGCCGGACAGTCCTGGCCCCGAGCCCCGAGCCCCTGGCACTTGCGGCCGGGCCTGCACGGTGTCCAGCCCGCCTGGCCACTCACCCGATCCCCGTACTTGGCCTTCTTGAGCAGCATTTGCTGCAGGGTCCGCAGCACCTTGACACACAGCTTCTCCTCCGACTCCATGAGGTCCTTGGTGTGCTGGATCAGCCTGGCCAGTGAGGAAGGAGGGCACACATGGGGCAGCCTCTGATGCCTCCCTCCAGGCACTTCCCCTGCACTGTGCCGGGCGGGAACACACCCGGCCCTCTGATCCCGCAGGCTGTCCAGTCCCCGCAGGGCCCTTCCCTGTCACAGGCTGCCTCGCACCTGCCACCCCCCCCCCCCCCCCCCCCCCCACCGGCCGGGCTGGCATCGCACTCACTTGGACAGGAAGCCCCCACTCTCACAGCGCTGGTAGGCCTCACTGCCCTCCAGGAAGAGCAGCTCGGGCCAGTGCAGGACGTCCACCAGCACGGACAGTTCGGCCTGTACCAGGGGCCTCAGCCGCTCCTCCAGGGCCGTGATGATGTCCTGGAGCGGGCACGGCACAGTCACTACCGGGCAGGTGCAGGCCATCCAGGGCCAAGAGATGAGTGAGGCTTGACCGCCATTCCCCACATCCCAACACCAAAGGGCCCCACGGATTTCTCTGAGCCTGTCTGAGGGGCCCTGGACCCACGGAACCACCCTGAACAATGCAGGATGTCTGTCTGCCCAGAGCTCCTGGCTGGGAGCCACAAGCCCTGCCCTTTCACCCAGCCCCTCGTCTATCTGTGTGACCCAGGCAAACCCCTCACCCTCACCCTCTCTGAGCCTCGGTCTCCCGCCACGTGGGGATAGCAAGCCACCACACCCCCCAGAAGTGTGTGTGTCAATAATGTGTTGCACAAACAGGAAGGGGCTATAAGGACTGAGAGTTGTCCTGACCCCCTCCGTGAGCACCAACCCCACTAGCAGGTGCCTGGGTTCTCCTGGCTTCCCCTGGAAGGATGCCCCTCAGTCCCCGGCCCCTGGCCTGCCCTTAGCAGAGGACTCCTTCCTGGGGAGCGGGGGCAACACAGGAAGGGATGCTTCCCCGGAACATGCCCTTCCAAAGCAGCTCTCGTGGCAGATGCCAGGCAGCCCCACACCCACCTGCAGCTTCTCGATGATGTTCTTGTAGTCCCACTGGTTGGCGGTGGGCGTGACACGGGGGAAGGCCCGCGTGGTCGCCTTGTAGTTGGAGGCGTTGCGCTGGGCTGCAGCTGCACAGCTGGTGCCGCTGCTGAGCAGTGAGCTGATGTGTGCATCCAGGTCCATGGGCAGTGAGATGGCCCGGCCTTTGGCTGGGGGGAGAGAGGAGGGGTGCTGGAGGGCGGGGGGGCAGGTGGAGGCCTCAACCAGCCAGAGGGGCCAGGCTCAGGGCTGCTCGACCAGGGCACAGGGTGAACTAACCAAGGTTCTGGGGTACACGCCGGCCCTCTCTTGGGCTGAGGTGCCCTCTTCCCCCTTTTTGGGTAAAAAGAGGGAGTTTCTGCCTCTTTGACTCTACCCTGGCTCCACTCTGACCCCTCCCCTTCCCCAATGCTCCCTAACAATCTTACAGGCTGCCCTTCTGCCTGAAACCATTTGCAAGCAAAGGCAACTTCGGTTGGGGAATGTCCCCCAGCATTCTCCTCTGGGGAACCGGCTCAAAGCAGAGAACAGCTTCTCTCAATTGCTAAGATGCTACTCGGACACCAAGAAGGACCTACTGAGAACTACCTGGAAGCAGACGACAAGTGAGCTTAGGAATAACGTGTTTATTTTGAGGGCAGGCGTCCCTGTGGCGAAGGGAGGGGAGGGGTGGTTGGAGCTAGCCAGTGCCCCTGGCGCACTCACCCACCATGGCGAGGGTCCGGATACAGGCCTCCACGGAGCCCTTGTGCTGCTGCTGCAGCCACGGACACTCGAGCAGCCGTGTGGTGGACTGCAGCAGCTGCACCACGATTGTCTGGTGTGTCTGCAAGAGGCAATACGCCTACTGCTACAGCCCGACCCACCCTCCAACCTGGAAAGCCCCAGGCCCAGTGACCAGGGCCCACTGAGAATGGGCACGATAGAGGAAGAAGGCCTCCAACAGTTACCATGTGTCTTTGTGCCAATCGGAAAAAGGTACTCCCTTTCCTCTCGGCAGTGCACAACCTGCTCGACTGTACGTGGCAGCCCTGTGAGAACTCCCCAAAGTCCAGACCTGGGACTTCTAGTCCTATTGCTGGCCTTTTCTTTCCTCTAAAAAAAGTTTTTAATAAATTAATATTGTGGAAAGTTGATGTATTTACATGGTTCAAAACCCAAAGCATGCTATGAAAAGGCACACTTCGAGAAGTGTCAGCCAACCATGACCCCATCAGCTCCATTCTCCCACACTCTGCCCTGGGGCTCATGAGAGGTGGGGAAAATTGATACAATTACCCATAGTCCCAAAGAGGCCCCAGGGCGCAAACATATGTGTGTCAAAACAAACCCACCCATGCTGAGACCAGGACCTGCTCCACCCTCAGTCCATCTATAGGTAGCCCCTTTCTTGGTCACTTGTGTGTCCATCCAGTGTTTCTTTAGGATTTAGGTATTGTCATAGGCTCCCTCCTAAAGGGAACCTGCCTCTCTTTCCTTCAAGAGGCTCTGGGCTATGACATCTGAGAATCTGGGAATCAATTAAGGGGCCATGACTCTTCCAGTGATTTAAGACAAACTCCTGTTCGCTAGCCTAGAACTTTTTTGCTGATACAGGTAAGTAAGACTTCAAAAGGCTGTCTATTTCAGTCCTAGGGGCACCTGATCAATTAAGCCAAACACCAAAGATCTCTGTACATCGGACCCTCTGGATTACTGCTCTGACTCTGCTGTCCACTGAGGTAGGCATGACCATCTTGTCTTTGGGGAGTAAGTGCTGCCAGCTGCCCCCCACCACCCTGGGATCCGTCATACCTAGTGAATTTACGAATTCCTGTTCTAGGGTACTGCTCCCACTGCAATTCCTGACCCGCAGAAATTACAGAAGAATAAATGTTTGTTGTTTTAAACTGCTAAGGTCTAGGGTGATTTGTTACACAGCATATGCAATTAACACACTTGTATATGTCCTTCTGCTACGTCTTTATGTACCACGAGCAAACGGGAATATATACCCTCTTTTCCCTCTTCGCTACACAAAAGCTGTGCGGGCAAGAGCGGCTCACCTGCAGGGAGGTGCTGTTCTCCGAGAACGGAGAGCTGAAGAAGGCATTGATGGTGTCCAGCACGACAGTCAGCACATACTTCTCCAGGGTGGGGTCAGCCAGGCGCTTCTCACGCTTACTGCAGACCTGGGGTGGGAGAGAGAGATGCCTGGGGGGGCCCCACCGCTCCTGCCCCCCGCCCCGAAGGCTGCCAGGGCTCCCACCCACGCCCCTGCCCAGCACAGCGCACCCACAAGCCCACGCCCCACCCCCCAGGGACAGACCCGAGCCATGTCCAGGGTGAAGTTCTCAAAGAGTGTCCAGATGTGGTTGCTGGTGTAGATCTCCTTCATCTCCACCTCTGTGTCCACGTAGCAGTGATTCACGAAGTTCACGTAGGCCATTTTCACCTGCACAGCCCGGAGCAAGGTCAGGGGCGCTAGCAAGACCGCCGGCCCAGGCTCTCCCTCTCTGCACTCGGATTCTCCCCTGACCTCTCCGTTGCTCCTCTCCCCACACCCCTCCTACCAGCCCCCATGTCTGCCACTCCCCCACTTCCCTCACCAACCTCTTCCTGCCCTGCCATGGCAAGACTGAAAGGCTGCCTCGGCCTGGCTCTACCCTTCCCCCACCCCGGCCGTCCCCACCCACCCCAGCCACCTCTCCCAGTCCCCAGAGGACCTCAGTGATGCAGTCCTCGTGTGTCACCACAGACACCACGTCTTCCAGGGGCAGCAGGGAGGTGCACTTGATCTCAGTGTAGACGTTCTTGCCCTCGGCACAGGCAGCCAGCAGGTCCACCAGGGAGATGTGATACATGAGGGGGCTGTGGTCCTCCACACCATCCCGGGCAGCCTTCATCATGTCCAGCAGGTGGGCCAGTGAGGCCTTGTCATTGTAGAACACGACCACGTCGTCACCTGCATTGGTCAGCTGAAGGCAGGAGGGGTGCCCCATCAGACCCCCTGAGTCCAGCAGGCCCTAGGTTTACCCGAGAGAGATGGGGACTCTGACCTCAGCCCTCACCTGACATTCAGGCAAACCCCACCCCCCTGCCTGGCCCTCGAGGCCGTAGGCTAATGTTTCGGGCCCTCTGCCATCAGGGCCGAACCCTGGACCCAGAAAGTGCCCCCCTCCTCCCCTAAGGAAAGAAGTCCCACTCAGGCATGTTTCAGAGGTGCCTCCTCCAGGAAGTCCTTGCGAATCCCACCCCTGCCTGGCTCACCCCCCCTACCCCCACCAGTGCTCCCACAGTGTGTAATTTAAAGGCTCACAGAGCACATGCTGCATCCTCTCGTGTCAGCAATTATGTTATTCACAGTAATATAATAACAGCAACTCATAATTCGCATCGCACAGCACTTCCAGAACAGGGCGTCTCGTTTGTTAGGTCCCTCATCTCACTCCACCGGGCTCCTTTCTCCCCTGCCCCCACACCATGCGGTAAGAGGCTCCAGGGCAGAGTCCACGTCTGTTCCAGATGTAGACTCAGCCCTCGACCCTTCATACCTTCAGGTAACGGGCCTACTGTGTACCCACGATGTGCCCGATGCTGGGGCCCATGTACGAAGGATGTGGTCCCCCGCCCTGAGCTCACACCCCAGTGCCTTCCCCCACGTGCACAGAACAGGTGCTTCATGATTTTTAAGTACATGATAATAGAAGGATAAACAAAGGAATGCATGTTTGAGCTCTTTCAGGCCTGTTGTCTGAGTTCTACTAGACCGGCCTCTTTGACCTTAGTTTTCCCTCCTCCTTCCAGCACCCTCAGCGTTCCTCTCGTGACCCCACTGCCTGACTCCTCCAACTCCAGGTCCTGCCTCCTGAGCGCTCCCTCTCTGTGGCCACCACCCATGAGTTCCCATGTGCCCTGCGGCCTCATCCTCACCTCCGTCATGATCATGTCCTGGCACTTCTTGACGTACTTGCCCTCGGCCTTGATGACGGTGTGCAGGAAGTCCAGATACTGAACGTGCCGCCCGTGTGTGGCCAGCAGGTGCACGAAGTGCTGCAACACAGGCTCGCTGATTTCAGAGCACAGCTGGTAGTTGTTCAGGAAGATGTGCTGCATGGTCTCTGCCTCCAGGAGCTAGCGGGGAGGGCATCCGTCAGAAAGGGGGATCTGGGCCCCGCTCCACCCAGCCGCCTCCACCTGGCGTCCTTACCCCTGGTGTGAGGAAGAGGTGCAGGTGCTTATGCAGCAGGGCCTGGTTGCCGGGGTTCCCCGCGCAGAACTTCTGCAGGAACTGGTGCGTATACCGCAGGATCTCCATCATCTTGGCATCACCCTGGGCACGGAGAGGGGAGGAACGAGGTGAGGCCAGGCCTGGTCCCTGAGCTCAACGGGTGTCGGGGCAGATCGGGTGTCGGGATTGGGACCACAGGAGGCCAGGTTCAAGGTGAAAGCTGGGCCTCCAGGTCAGGACAAGGAAATGTGTGAGGGGCTGAGGGTCAGCAGCTGAGGCGAGGCTGGAGCGGGGAAGCAAGGCTGAGGGGTCAGGGTCAGGTGAACGCTGGGATGGTGTCAGGCTCAAGAGTCAGTGTGAGGCTTGAGACATATCAAGATCAAGGTTGGTCAAGGGGAGGTGTGGGCGTCAAAGGCTGAAATGAGGCTCAATTTGGAGTCAGGGACCAGGTCGGGGTAGGAGGGCAGAGCGAGGCCAGGGTGTGGAATCCAAGTCAGGGGTCAGTATGAGGGGTCAGGGGTCAGGGATCAGCCTGCTGACATCATGGGTCAAGGGGAGACCAGGGTCACATGGACCAAGGGGAGGCTGGCCAAAGGTTACAGTGAAGCTGAGATTATCAGGATGAAGCCAGAGAGGGAAACAGAAGCTGGGGTCGGGGTCAAGAGTCAGGGTTAGGTTAGCATCAGGGGTTAGTGTGCGGTTTGGGTTAGACTGGGGTTTAGGGTGAAGCTGCCCAGAGGATGACAGGTCACCTTGTCATAGGGGATCTGCAGCAGGTCCAGCATGACCTTGTGGGCGTCCATGTTCTTGAGCAGCCTCTGCTGCTTCTTCCTCATCTGCTCCCCAACACCGCACATCTTGTTCAGCCGCTCCAGGATCTGGGGAGGGCGGGGGGTGAGCCCAGAGCCCCTCCCCTCCTCCTCAAGCTCCCCCTCCACCCAGGGCCCCGCTCAGGCTGGTCGGAGTCCCCGGCCAACCCCAGCCAAGTCCCAGCTCACGCTGGGGACAGGAAGGGGGAAGGAGGCCGCGGTCACGGAGTCAGATCACTGCAACGAGGCAGGGAAGCACTAAAAACCCAATCCCACCCATAAAAGTAAATAGAACAATATGACTGTGAAATGGAATTTCATTAAATTCCTTCAGCTTTAAAATAACGCCATCTGGACTTCGGCAGGGCTGTTTTTAATGCACAGGAAAAGCCAGAGGATGTCAATTTTGAGGACCGGTGGCCGGCAGAGTGGGGAGGCAGGAGAGGCCAGGCCCCAGAGCCTCCAGGGGGTCCTCGGGGCCCCCAGCCACTCACGCCCTTGACGATCTGGTAGTTCTCACTGCTCTTCTCCCCAGGTGGGTGCAGAAAGCCCTCCTCATCTGTGGGCCGCTGCGGACACAGGGAATGGGGGTCAGCCAGGCCCCGCCCTCACTGGAAGCCCTGTCTCCCCAGCTCCCCACGACCTCGCTCACCTCCTTCTTGTCTTTGGTAGCACCTGCCTCCACCTCCTCGCCTTTGCTGCTGCCCTTCTTGTCGACCCACAGCTCCGACTTCTCGACCATGGTCCGCAGCCGGTCCAGCTCCGACTTGATCACCTTGTAGTTCTCCACATCCTGAGCTGAGATCAGCAGCTGCACCTGAAGGTTGAAGGCAGGCTTGCCTGGTGAGACGGGTGCCCCCAGGTCCACTGCCTCGCAAAGAACCCCGGTGCCTGATGCCCCGGCCTCTGGTCCTGGCATCTCCATTCTGCCTCTGCTCCCACTCAATGTGTATGGCCCTGCCATAGTCCACCACCTCCAGGAAGCCTTCCCTGATGGCCGAAGGCCTCCCTGCACTCCTTGGCATGAGCTGCCCCATCACCTGGCTTCAGCGACTCATTGACTTGTGCTGCAAAGGCCTGTCACTTGGTCACTCGGACCCCAAATGCAGGACAAAGCATCCTGGCATCACTGAATGCTGGCTGAAAGAGGGTTCTGAACCTCGGCTCCCACTTCGCTCGCTCTGGTCAGTGGGTAAGGAGGGAAAGCTTCCTGGGCCTCAGTGTCCCTCTAAAAAAACAGGAGAGTAGTAACCACGTTGCCAGGGCTGCCCCGAGAATTCCATTAACATGAGGCCAAGGCTCAGTGTCTGGCACACCCTCGCTAAATGCCAGTCCCGTTTCCCAGGGAGCTGTCAAGACCACACAACATGGCGAGGACACAACCAGTCACCTTAGTGAGGGCTGACTGCACGCCGGGCGTGATTTGAAGCACTTAGCAAACGTGCACATGGTGTAGTTTGTTAAACTATGAAGTGCCATCCACATCATAAAAAGTGACAGGCCTTGAGTCAGGCTGAGAGGAAATAAAGATGGCCCAAGACTTGGCCTTCACCTTTAAGGAGCTCAGCAAGGCCAAGAACCCCAGAGAAGCATCTTGAACTTCCCCTGAGCTGTGAGCATCTACGTCACGGTCAACCCCCCGGTGCCCAGCACAGGCCAGCGCCCGGCCAGCGCACCTGCCTGCTCGGTGCCAGGGCCAGGTGGTCCTCTGGCCACCCCCCCGGGGAAGCCCCCTTGGGCCTCCTTCCCCCTCCCCAAGGGCAAGGGGGCTCAGACAGGAGCAGCACCTGCTTGAAGGTGTGCATGGCCTCCTGGCGCTGGCTGAAATGCTTGAAGAGCAACTGAAGGGCCCCCGAGACCAGCGGCGCGTAGTCGTGCATGCTGAGGTGGATAAGCACCCGTAGGAACATGCGGCCACCCTCGTCGTCCACCTCCAGCATGCTGCTTGTCTTCCTGCAGCACAGGCGAGGGGAACGGGCGGCCCGTGAGCTCCCTGCCGGCCGAAGGGAAAAGCGTGCTCCCCGCCCCCCCCTCGGCAGAGGCAGCGCCCAGTGCAATACTTGCTGAAAGCAGTGATGGTTGCTCACCAGTTTGTAAACAGCCACTGCCCTGAGCTCCCTGAGTGATCCCTGGGTTCAGTCAGCCGAAGCGGCGACTCTTCACACGGGACCCACAGACACCCCCCAGGGACTCGCAGAGATTGGCCGGGGCCGTGGACAGAGGGTAGGCAAAATCCACGGCTTTGGTTTTACCAACCTCTAACTAAAAATGCAGCATTTCCTTCAGTGAGAAAAAAATCAGCACTACCTGTGATTCGGTCACCACTACATATCACAGATGTTTTCACATCACCTTATGGGTGTTACAGAAATCGCGAAATGCCAGGTACGTTCATTGCCACTTGGAAATCGTGGTACTAATTATAGCCCTGGCCCAGTTTGTTATCTAATGTGTTAATAAAAAGGCCCATATCTAACTGGCGTGTCTAATTTGTTTTCTTCAATATTTTGATAGCTGTATCTCAAAGCACTTGCTTTCCTTTGTAATTCACGTGCTTTATTTTATGAATTTAAAAATGCCATGCTGAGCAGGGGTCCAAAGGCTTCGCTAGATCCCAAGAGTGTGGCGTGGAAATGGTTAGGAGCCCCCAACCCCCAGGAGGAGCCCTCCCCCTCCAGCCCTCTGTACAGCGGGCTATCCCCCCACCTCCCCCTGCTCCCCTCCAGCTACCTGGTCCAAATCCCAATGCACAAACAGGAGCACAACAGCCCTGGGTGAGGGCAGGGGAATGACCAAGATGACACTAAGGTCCAAGCGGCCCCTATATCACTGGGGCCGGGGAGGCCTGACAGGGCAAAAGCACAAAGCCAAGGAGACCCCCGGCGCAGAGCCCGGCAAAGGGCTGCGGGGAGTATGACCCAGGAGGAGGGGCCAGCCCCAGCCCTGGGAAACCCAGCCTTGGAGACCCCAAGACAGGGGTTCTCACACCGTTGTCAGCATCACCCAACCAACCCCACACACAACCCCCCACATCAACTCTGGCCTCACCCTACTCCAAACATGGCCTCCGCCTGCTCCCCGATGCGATCCAGGTTCATGTTGGCAGCTGTGGGGAGCAAGAGTAGGCAGATGGGGGCAGGTGGCCGGTCCATGCCCAGGAAAGATGAGGATCACAGGGGGAGGGAGCAGGCAGATCCCCAAACCATCTCATTCCCTGCACTTGTTGGGTAGCAGCCCCACCTGCATGCTCCTTCTCAGAGCAGCCCCACCGCCCTGTAGGGGTGAGCAGGGTTCTGAGCTGGGCATCCGGAGACCTGGGTCCTGGTCTGGTTCAGCCTCTGACTGGCTGTGACCTGAGGCAAGTCCCCGCCCCTCTATATGGGCCTCAGTTTCTCCATTTGGGAAATAGGATGATCTCTGCCTTTGCCTCTTACCATGGCAAATAAATGAGATACTAGGGAGGAAAGGCCTTTGCAGGTTGGGAAACAGAGGCAGGGCTGGGGATCCAGCCCCAAGGTCTCCCTCAGCCTCCACCCCACTGATGTGTACCCCTGGGCGAGTCACATAGCCTCAGCCTGAAGGCGGGGGAAGGCAGGGGTGGGGAAGGCAGCGGTGGGGGCTCACTGGTGGAGTCGAAGGCCGGGGCTGTGCCGTCGGCCCCGCTGTCCTGCATGGGAAACACCTCCACAAACTCCTTCTTGAAGACGGACAGCAGGTAGGAGATGCGGTAATCCAGGCGGACATTGAGGATGAACTGGAGAAGTGGGGAGGAACGGGGTGGTGATTGGACTGAGGTCGGAGGGCCAATTGTGCCCCGGGGGTGGGGGGAAGGTGGTACCCTGAATGAGCTCTAGCACTTGGGTATCTCAGCATAGACGTTCCAGATGCTCCAGCATTATCACAACGTAAAAAATCAAGACTCCTCTCCCCAGGGAGGTCCAGGGTGCCCTCTCCTCCACTCTTGACCCAGTGATGAGGGATGACACCTCCTCTCCAAATTAGGCAGAGACACCCCCTGCCCCGTCCCAGCCCACTCAGCTCCTCCTTCCCAGGCAAGATACTGACGGGAAAGAGAAGGAAGCTCCCCAGGCCCAGAGGCCGACTCTCATCCTCCAATCTTGCTCTGCCTGGGGCTGGGGGGGGGCAGGCGGGTGGAGAATTGAAGACTGAGGGGGAGCAGGAGAGGCCACTGTGGGGTGAGGGGTGAAGACACAAGGTTTGAGGACACCCTTGACTGGCCTCTATCCTTATGGGGCACAGAGAGCTTCTGGCCATACCCCAGAACACAGATCTGGAAGCCCTTAGCCCCTAGATGAATCAGAATCCCCCTCCTCTGACTCCCCTCCTCTGACTCCCCTGACCAGGCCTTGCCCAGACTGGGTCCCCATGGAGGTCACTGTATTACCCTTCCCGTCCTCTGCTGACAGTAAGGCAAAAGCAAGCAACCACTCCTTGGGATCCTACCAGCCCCTTCTCCAAGTGTTACTAGGGGGTCTCCGACAAGACTCAGAGCAGGAAAGACTATATCTGCCTCACCAGGAAACGGCTCTTAAGACTCTAGCTCTGCTTCAGAATCTCTGTGTGATGGCAGGAAAGTCCCCTTTTCCTTTCCTCATCTGTACAATGGAGGGACGGAGCTAGGTCTTGGTGCACCCCAGAATCACCCGGGGGGCTTGTCACAGCACAGGCCGTGGGCCTGCCTCAGAGGCTTCTGATCCGTAGGTCTGGGGCGGGGCCCGAGAACGTGCATTTCTGAGTTCCCTGGTGAGGCTGAGGTTGCTGGTCCAAGGACCACACTTTGAGAGCCACTGGGCTACACAGCCGATCACTGTGGAGCCCTCCAGTACTGGATCTTATAATCTGAGTGGGAGTTCACCCCACCAACCTTCCTGTCCCAGGCTCCCCTCTCCTCCCCTATTCCCAACACCTCCCACCACTGTTCTGGCCCAGCCACCTGCAAGATTTCCAGGATCTTCAGCTTGGTCTCCATCACCACAATGTCTTCATTGTCCTCAAACTTGCTTCGGTCCAGTGGCTCAGTGGCACCAGAGCCAGCAGGCAGGCTGGGGGCGCCAAAGACAGACTGCTTTCGGCTTAGCACCATGGTGGACATCATGTGGCCCACACCCTGGATGGACCGCCGCACATTCTTGCCTGCGGAGTGGGAAGCACATGGGGATCACAGGGGGCGCACAGCAGGACCCCTCGGTCTGACTCTGTCTCTGTCAGCTGCAGGGCTAACCCAGAAAGCCTTCCTGGGGGAGGTGAGCTTTAAGCCAAATCTGGGCAAAGAAGGGATGGCCAGGGCAAAGGCGGCCATCTGACAATAGATGGCAGGGCTGTTCTCCCCCACCTTCCCCATCTGATGGGGGCCCCTCAGGCAGGGCCTGTGTGTCTCCCCTCCTCCCTCATCATCTCCCCTCAAGACCAAGATGCCTTGGAAGGCAACGCCCCCAGGCCCCGGGGTCTCCACAGAGCCTGGACAGGAGCCCCTCTGGTCCAGCAGAGGCCAGGAGGCAGGCTGCACAGGGTGTTGATCAGAGGACTTCTGGCACTAGGAGGAGATGGAGAATGCCAGGGGTGGGGGTCTGGCCACAAAGCCTCACCGCCTGAGTCATCGTAGGCCTGTAGCATGGCCGGGGGCCCCTGCACGCAGTCGATGATGCCCAACAGAGTGCGAGTGAGCCGCAGCAGCTCACTGAAGCTGTAGAAGCCGAAGTAGATGAGATTGTGCGCCAGGCTGACCACCTGCGGGAGGAGGAGGCGGGGCCGAGGTGAGTGGGGTGGGGCCTCGTGAAGGGCGGGGCCAGGGCGGGAAGGTAGGGCTGAGCAGGTGTAATGAGGGTGTGACTAAGTTCTTGGGTAAAGGCAGGATCTCGGGGAGCCTGGACACAGCCACCCTTGTGCCCTAGTGGGCTGATAAGGAAGTGAGGCCTACAAGGAAGAATACTGTGCCAGGGGG